ATGCTACACAGTATCCATTTTTTCCCTCACCCCTACTTCTTACCCTGTCATACAGCATTAAAGTGTGACTCTAAGCGTTGTGCTGCAAACTTGCTTTTGTCCGAGCCGTTATCCACTTGTAGGCCACGCTACAAAATGCTCTGACGCTTGCTGGACAAAAGCTGCCGTGTTTTGGCTGGGCGATTCCCATCACTTATGTTAACAATGGCCGTTTACACAAAGTATTATCCTGCACAGAGAGGGTGTATGACATACGTGGCAGAAATGTAAAATTCCCATAAGAAATATATTACATTCCTGTGCTTGTTGTAGAAATAATTTATGAGGGAGCAAAATGCCACTGCCTCGAAACACTGTTTTAATTAATTTTCTGCTGCACTGCCACATCTTTCGTTGCATAATATTACACATTTTCTTCAAGTATGCATGTTTGTAAGTACATGCACTGATATCACATTGACGACTACCTACGAGCGAAAATTCTTAATGTAATGTGGTGCAACGAGAATGTCCACACAGTGCAGCACAGCTCGGGATCAAGGCAACCCTGTATCTGTGCTGCCCACATTAGTCAAAGCAAGCTTATCTTCTCAGTGCATGGGTAAAAGCACACAGCGTCACAGGCAGGGGCTAAAAGGGGAAAAATGAGGGTTAAGCTGCTTTCAATATTAGTTCTCTCTGAAAAGATGACTCCATAAATATGTAGAAGCCATGAATCCAGGCTTTGTTTACAGGTCAAATGACTGGATGTGTGCAGACAGACACTGTGGGTTTCTAGGTAAAGAATAGAGAGAACTGAATGGAAATGTTGGACTGAATGATCACATTTTTCTGTTTGGATCAGAAAATCATTTCTGGTATGATCTGCAGGAGAGGGGCATCGGCACAAGTGTTAATTCTACAAAAGACTGCCAGACTGAAAGAACATCAGCAGGAAAAACGATGAGCATAGGGAAGCATTTCAGAGCATGCATGAAGTACACGATGCATCACCCAGACAGCACCGAAAACGTAATGTGATTACACGAAAACACTGAGCTCAATTTGCATTTTATATGCCAGACTAATAAAAAAACAAACCCCCAACAACATAGTAATCCATCGCTAAAGACAGACTACAGCAGTTAAGGATCCTTGGCAGCGCTTCCCTAGCTGTGACTTGGTGTAATTTAAGGAACACCCTGATACTGCTCCCAGGTGATGACAAAATTTAGGGCGAGGCATACTGTACCAAAAGAGACAAACAGACTGCCCCACAATTTGATCTGCTGCCATCCTAACAGCCCTGCCCTGAGCAAATGTAACCGGAGAGCTCACTGTTTGTATTGGAAACTCGAGCTGCCTTTGCAGTCAGGTGGGAAAACAAGGTAGGGGACTTTAACCTGCATGTGCAACATAAAAGTGCTCAGCAAAAACAGAGGGAGGGGCTAGAGAGCCAACAGCATGCTGTGCATGCAGAGATGAAACACACCTCTGATTTGCATGCATGCCTGGGTTTTAAAAACAAGTGGACTGAATGGCAGCGTAACAATGAGGCCTTAGAACAACCTGCTATTGATCTACAGACTCTCTGAAGTGAATTCAGGACGTAGCAGGTGATTCTACTCCCCGAGTTCACCTGGAAATACCAGATGGAGATATCAACATAAAAAACAACAGAGCACTTACTTCAAAAATAAAGAGGATAGAGTCCAGCTCCTCCCTTTGAGATTTGTTCCCTGAAACACAAAGAAAACACTTTTAGTACAAAGTTTTTAAAACGTTTTACCTGAAGCTATGCTGCATAGAGCTTCATCAATAATGCAAAAATAATATGGGCCACTGCATAAACATTCATTTAAATGAACGTGTATGACCATGAGACCACAGTCCCAGTGGGAATGAATGAAGGCAAGCTCAATCCACTCAGTTACACTAAACATAATCAGATTGATTCTCTAAGTACCGCTGCTCTGGAAATGTGGGGCAAACGGAAAATAACCTTTGCTGTAGCACAGAGGGCGAAGAGAGGGTTAATTATTGAACCGCCACTGACAGTGGCAGCGAAATAGTTCATGTGCAGTTTATTACAAAAAAAAGTTTTTACTCACCTTTTTGTTTTAAGTTGCTTTCCAGTGTAATGAAATTTTCATAGAAGATAAAATAAATCTGAGAACTGTTGTTCTCAAAGAATGTCTTCAACTCACTCTTGTCAATGATATCTGAGGGGAAAGAAAAAGAAACTCAATCAACTTCAGTCAGTCAGAATATAAAATAATAATTAAATAAAAAAGAAACAACAATCACTTTTATTCAACGGTGTATTCAACTTCCAAGGTTTGTTAATGTAGAGATTTTCCCTGTAGTCTGTTTTGAGAAACCTGGATGCTTTAATGTTGTCTGTGTGACACTAGTCACAGGAGTGACAGCGAGTTCCCATTAGTTCCCCATTTAAACAGAAAACTACATACATTTTAAAACAAAGCAAATTGCTTCACTTCCTTAAGCAGTGTAACTTCTCCCACTCCTCACCTGTAGCCACGGGAGAGAACTGTTTTTTGGGGACGTTGAGAAACTTTTTACTCCGATCTACGATTTCACAATTTGAAAAGTGAAAGATTTCTAAATGATGCTTTTACTGTGAAATGTGCATTTTATCCAACAAAGACACAATTTTTGTATTGTTGCACAGAGGCACATCCGTGCATTGGTACATAAATTATAATAAGTTGGCAGTACAATGAATAGACCGATTCCAGTGCCACCATGTTGCACCTCAACCGACTACAGTGGTCCTTCTGCTCTGGAGCCTCAGCCTGGTACAAGGTTCTGATTAGCTTGCAATCAAGCTCCTAAACAGAAGACAACCAAGCTGCAGTCCATCACAGTGAAATGGATGCTGTCTAATAGATTCATCCTTCCATTCAACCGCTTATTTAACTCAATCCATCTCAGCAGTTATGGTGCAAAAGGCGCAGTGAACCACGCACCGGTCCACTGAGATCTGGCAGAGGGACAGAGAACCTTACCTTCTCCCATACACCTATGGCTAATTAACCTAAAATGCCTTTGGGAGAGAACCAGAGTACTCAGAAGGTCCCACAGGCACAGAAACTCTACACATAAAGGGCCCAGTCGACTAGGAGGTGCAAACCCAGAACCTTATTGTGACGAATCACTTTTTCTTTAGGACAGAATAAAGAAGTAAAAGCTACACGAGTTGCAAAATATACTTTTGTAGCCCCCACAGGCAAAGCCCATGTGAGGGATACAGCACTTAATCTAAAGAATGGTAGTTGCAGTTTAACACGGAGACAAAACATACTTGCAAACCAAATAAATGTTAAAGAAAATATCAGTTTGTGATTTTTTTCCCTTTTGTTTCCTTCTTTTTTTTCAAGATTGCAAAACTCTCAGACAATATGAGGCCATTGTTTCAGTTACTGCTGTGATGAAAGTCTCCTCCATGTTTCAGCCAGTAATACTTTGAGTTCATCCACACTGGAGGATGAATAAATGAGATGACTTTTTTCCTCCATGCCATCCAATGGGGCTCTTTGGGATTTAGGTCAGCACTCAGTAAGTGCTATTGTAAGACAGATTTTCTCCTGGGCAAAAATACACTTTAACAGGCAGCTGGGATGCTTTGGATCATTTCCCTGCTGGAAGAGACACTTCTGCTTGATATTTAACTAATACACATGTTTAAGCTTCCTCGAGCATTAATCTATATAATTATTTACAGCTGTGGTAACTGTGTTTTTCAATGCATTAAATAGCAGTTTAGTTTCACACACATACACTATATTAAAAACTATAATTTCCCATAACCATTTCCCAAAATGATTCCTGCCAAAACAGAGCAATTAAGCTTCACCTTCTGTTCCAATTCTCCCTCTGCTAAATGGCAAATTGGAAAACTCCCAGAAGCTGTCCAACTCCTGGGGACTGCTGGAATGATGAATTACGTGACAAAGACAAAGCTTTGCCCTGAGATCAAAGCAGGGATGATGAAGATGCATGATGGCAAAACTGAGTGTTTTACATTTTTAGCCTCGATTTAGGAAAAAATAAATAATCATGTCATCATGGGTGAATCCCTAGTGACGCTGCTGTTTGACAGTTAGATGTATAATGCAACGGCTAATTGGTGACACACAGTGAGATGACACTATGACTTTCTACCCGACCCAGTTTTACTACCATCAATGCTTTACAGCTACCTTAGCGTGCCCATAATTACTGTAGACTAACAAAACTACCTGATGATATCCACTGATAGGCAACCTCCCTGCCAGCCAGCAGTTAGCGATTTAAACCAGTGTAATGCAACTATTATCAGCCCAGTGCTGTAGAAACAGATGCTTGTTTTCAACTGAGAAAGCACAAGAAGATGTACAAAAAAAAGAAAAGCTACATTGATCCCATGAGGCTAAGATTCATTAATCATGAAACAAAACAGTGAAGCATAACCAAGAAAAGCTCCATCAGGAAATTCAAATGTCTGTATTATTTAAACTACCAGTAACAGACTTTTGATTTCATTAAAAAACAGGGGGGAAAAAAGGGAAATTTTTGTTTTAGGTTTTTATTTCAGCTAATTCTTAACCACTAAAAACAGTTGTAAAGAGATGCTGGAAAATGTAGGATAATAAAAAATAATACTAATAAAAAGATTATTCCAATCTTCCCATTTCCAATCCAATCCTAAACTGATTTTGGGTTACAGATTAGATTTAGACTCTATCAGACTGCTTTAGATGAGCCAATCTTAATCATAAAACACATTGAACTGAAGGAATTCGCTCCGGTCAACTGCACTGTTATAAAAATAACATCCAACACTAAAATGATTTAAAGAAATCTAATGAACCTTAGTCTCCAGTCACACATACCTATAAGCCAGCCACCAGTTGCTATGGAAAAAAAAATACTCCTTGAGTTGTGGCAAGTGGCTGCAGGCAGTTGCTACAAAATCGCTGCTAAAGCCTCAGTCGCATGATTTAGCAGTAAAGACAACTATTACTTTAAAGTAGAATGTTCTCCATAAGGTAACAAGTGCTTGCAGACAAATGCATCTTGCATGAACACTATGGGCCACCCCAGGAATCTGCGAGACCAAAGGAATCACAAGGTCAATCAAAACACACTCTGTGTGACCGATTTAACCCAGAGACAGCCACCAACCTCCAGAAATCACTCGCTAACCGCTGAGGGAAAACAGAGTGAGACTGCAGATGAAGAAGGCTGAAATAAGCCTTCAATGGAAGAGTGCCGGGGCTCTCCCTTAGAGCTACGGTGAGAAGCTTGGTCACTTGGGAGCGGCTCAGAGTAAAGTAGCCCCAGATGCACAGGTGGAAATATTCTAGTTATCCAGAATCAGAAATGTTGCACAGAATAATACACCAAACCTTTTTAAAGGCTCATGTTGCTCAGTTTCTCTGCTACCCTATCTAGTTAGTGTGAACCATAAAGAATGATTATAAAACTGTTTAATGTGAGTTTAGTGTATCTGACGGACGTAAGCCAAACCAGTTCCACACCACTGAAGTTGCAGCATTTTTACAAACCAGTTCTGGTTCGTCCGTTTCATTCAACGATCCGCTTTCTCCCTTCTCATTCTCCGCCATGCTTTTTCTGCCATGTGCGCACGAAAGCAAAGGCACTGCACATGCACGTTTTACTCATATTCTATCACAATATTTTCTTATCGTTGCCCAACATTATACCAGTATTATTGTGAACAGTATGGTATGGCCCAGCCCTACTATCCATGTTACTATTTTAAAAATCAAAGTTGTTATGCACATTTGTATAACAAATTCCAATCTTTCAATCACTTCCAAAAAAAGGGTTTTATTATCTGGCTCAATGAGTGTCTGGTAAACCGTGAGCCCATGGGCTGTAGTAACATCACAAGCTTTTAGGACATGCTGCATATGAATGCTGCTAATGAAAAGCTGAGAATGACCTCTGATTATTTTTAGGGGCTTGTTTATATTAATATATTATATTATTTTCCTATTCTAGGATCTGTACACCTAAGAATATAAGACAAACTTGTCCCTATACATTATTATTAGTTAGTAAAACTGTACAGAATATATTTGAAATAAGATTAAAAGACAGGCATTGGGGCAAACCATTAAAAAATGGCTATATCAGCAAAATGCAGAGGACGGTAGGTGCCCACCTGACAACCCTAACTCTACTATGTTAATATGTTCTACTATGTGTATCCTTTGAAGCTAGTGCAAGAACCCACAGTCACCTCTGAGCACAGGAAGAATGAAGGATTATTCACTGCTTTCCCAGTAGAAGTGCAGATGCACAATCTTTAACTTGGATTCAGCACATTGGCCTTAACATGTCCTGTGTATAATAAACAGTAAGAACTTGACCTTACAATATAAAAGTGCCCTGAGATGAAACTATGTGTACTTAAGAGCTCTGTGGATAAAATACAATAAAAAAAAGTCTTCATATCAAACAGATTATATTAGAAAATCATGTACCTGTAATGTAAGACGGAGAAAGAAAAGAATTCTGTAACAATTCATCACTAAATGCCTCTAAATTAAATATTATTGGCTGCTTCATATGTTTATGGTGCTGGGTGAATTTCATACATCAAGCTGTTGTGATACTAGTCTGCGCTCTCCAGCAGTGGGTAAGCCAACATCCTTAAGCCTTAAGGCCTTAAGGATGTTGGAAAAAGCTGACAGTCATCTGCCTACAAGTACTAAAGTTCAGATAAAGAGCCTAGATGTGATTGGGAGTGTATACAATCCCTCCTAACAGACCTACTGTCCAGGCTGCATGGAGAGGGTTAATGCATTAAAATTCAGTAATGAGAATGCTCTAATATCTGATCACACTGCCAGCTACTAATGGTCTGCTAAGCCATTAATGATTTACAGAAGGAGAGGAACTTTATATCTTATGCTTGCTACATCAGGACTTAATTTTTTATGAAAGAAATGTGTTAAATGAAAGAATGAAATTGTTCAATAGCATCCAGCAATGTGAGAAGATATCCAACATCATCAGGTAACAGGATGTGGACAGAAAGCGACAGAACCAGACCCGGGAATGCTGGGGATAACTCTGCATCCTCCGATTCCAACAAAATAACTCAGTCGTTTGAATGACACGCCTCCATCTGTCATTCTCCATCTGCTCGCGTCAAAAACAGGAAATGAAATGATAATGAAATGCAATC